ATTGCTAAAAATACTAATAATATAATTATTTTATGTACTTAACCGATGACATATTGTGGCGCTCTATGGATTGAAAACGATTTTCCGGTTCTCGTTATTTCGTCAACCATCGCCACAACTACCTTCTTCAAAATACGCCTGCTCTGTACAACGCTGCGATCTATGAATGTTTAAGAAAAACTAATAATACTCGCATTCATAATTATTACTATACATTATATAGCGCATATATACATAAGTATATAAGTATAATAGCGCAAGTAATAATGATTAAAAAAAAAAACTTTTCAAACATATTACGTTATACTACAGTATCGTCACGGTTAAAACAACATTTGGCCGGTCGTTTGGCAGAATTAATGGCGTCGCCACTTGCCACTCGGTATGTATTATAATGATAATAATAATAACACAATAATATGACATATGCGGCGCGCGCGTATAATATTATACACGGGCGATAATATAATTTTGTTGCAGCGCATAATTCAGAGTGACGGAGTACCAATAAGTACCTACAATCTACATAGTACACATTAATATATTAATTCAAGACTTAAATTACTAAGAATACTCTAAATTATGCATTAAAATTTTGTTATATGCATATGCAATTTCATATCATATTTTTCATCATTAATACAGCGTAGGTATATTATATTTACTATTCAGGAAAACGTGCAATAATCCAAATGGAAAAAAGCACACGAATGTGAATTTTATTTATTTATAGTTAAATTTTTAATGATGGCCAAAAACAAAAAAATTACTATGATTGAATTACAGAAATTACAGAAACGTATATTTTTGTATCAAGTGCATTTTAATAATAAGTATTTTCTAAAATTTTTGATACTTAAATATTTTTATATCGTATAAAAAATTAAAAAATAAATTTTGTTTTTCCAACTTTTTTGGTATAAAAATAATAATCTAGGACAACTTATCTCAGACATTTCATTCCCTTTTTAGCCAATTTCAGTTAAATAGGAAATCAATCATTCAATATGTTTTTTAAGCGTAAATATAATATAAACAACACGCATAGACATGCTACTTGCTAAAATACTAAACAGATATAGATTACAATATTTTATAAAAATCCATTGCAGTCGTATTAGATAAGCCATTGAAATCTTATTAAACTGCACCCAACCCTCCCCTAAGTCCCAATAACTGCTTAAACAAGATAGTCATATACTATACTCGTATATGATAATATTTGTTACAACGTTACACTAATAAGTTTTTATTGGGACTTTAGAACTCAAACCGTTTACAGCAGTATTGGAACTTTGTGTTGCAGGTTTAAACGTATAAATAAATGATTACAATAGTTTTAAAAATTGATCGAGTAATTCATGCATGTATTAAAAATTATACATTATATAATTCTTTATAATTCTAAATTTAATTTTCGTTACGTTTTTTATATATAACCACCTGTAGCATCATTTTATACTACAGGTAAATTAAAAATATATATTTTTTTTTTTTATTTAAATTTTAAATTATTTTAAAAAATTACCATAGTTATATTTCTTTTGAATCGTCGATTTTTTTCAAAAATATCACATTGTGGCAGTGGTACAAATATATTCTTTTTTAGATTCTGAACGGAGTGATGAATGTATTGATTTTACAATGATGTGTGTATTTTTTTTTTTTTTTTGTCTGTGTACAGCATAAGTAGTCGAAATAATGCTTCAATTTCAAACTTCGGGGATGGTTTCCGATGAAAAAGTGAATATCCTTGGTGCATTATAGAGATAAAAAGTAAACATTTTCCAACATTTTTCAAAAAAATCGAGAAAAATAAAAAAAAAATGACGAAAAACGGGAATTTTTACGCAAAACCAGTTTTCGACCAAGTCGATTTTTTTCTATAGCTGTAATTCAAAAACTAATCACTTTATATTTCAGGGACGGGTATGCGCTAGCTAATATGCTGTAGCATAAACACTATGAAAATACCTTTGAGGGAGGATTTACGTTCACAAACCACCATCTAGTTGCGTTTATTACTCGACACGGCGTCCTAACAATGATGATGATTTCAATAATATATTAATAATTATTGAACCGTTTACAAGTCCGAATTGAAATTACGGTTTTCGCATTACACTTACACACCGCTACACGTGTTTACGGCGCGATATCTCGCGGAGGGTCTTTTATTGTGTCGCAATAGCTGTCGTACGTCATAAATAATAATAGTACAATTATTCGAATAAAATAAAGACTCCTCTGCGGCTCTGCTGCGGTGCGTATATTACCATTATAAAAATATTATATTATTATTAAAATCTAACCCGCGCGCGCTTGTGTGTGTTATCGCATGTGATTGAATCGGACAAAACAACGCTACCGGCGGCGGCGGTATTCTCTCATTGTAGTGGCACATTACAATTAAAATTCATCACGTTACACAGGTATATAATATGTGTGTATATGTATATGTGTGTGTATGTATATGCCTATATCTACGAATAAACCGATAGACACCTGATGGCCCGCCGCCGCCTATATATCGCGTTCTATAGTCATTAATGGAAAACGCTTAACAAAGTACCAATCTGACGACTACTACCTCAAAGCTATCTAAAATTTCGATTATTATTATCGTTAATATCCTTGGCGAGGAAAAGACACACACACACGGGTGAGGTCATTGATTTAACCTTGAGCCTTAAGCTAAGAAAATGTGCGCGCGTGTGTGTGTGTGTGTGTGTGTGTGCGCGCGCGCGCGTACCTTACCTCCACACGTGTATATATACGCGCACTGTGTGCCGTAACGTCGCGCGTCGTCTTCGTCGAAGGCAGCGGGCCATCACTAGGCCAATTATATAATTTGTCCCTTAAATATGATAACATTACACTGCACGGACAGCGCACGGCGCACGAATAATGATAAATTGTAATAGTGCTATATAACGCTCTGGATAAAACGTATCGTTATGCCTATATGTTGTCATTTAAGACCACTCGTAATACACTTTTATGCATATCCAAGTGAATAATATGATATCGATTACAGGGCGATTCACACCTGCAAGCATGTTCGCTCCAATGTTTTTCCTTTAACGATGAAATTGTTTATATTCTAATTTTTTGAATTTATAAATAGATGTACCTAAAAACCATACTTACAAATCCTTAGACTTTTCATGAAATTTAAGAAGTGTTCTCTGGCAAAACACTTTTTTTTTCAAGCGAAAATCATTTTTTTTTTATTTGTTATGTAAAATGATTTCTTAAAAAACTATATGAAAATATTAATCTAAATTTCACAGAGTAGGTACTTACCGAGTACCTAATTAAACTTTAGGTATACCGACGACATAACATGGAACGGTGATAATTTGAAAATTGTATTATTTAATATTAATTTATCACAAATGTAATATTAGTAAAAATTGTTGGATTATAGAATCTTATCTTTATTATGTACTAAAATGGATTATATACAAAGGGTAGTTCTTTTCGAAAAAATGTTTGTATTGCCATATAGAATACTCCTTAAATGATATGTGTTAAATTATATCCGAAACCTGAAACTTACATTATAAGATTCCTTCAACTATTAAAAGGGTTCTCAACGGGAATTTCTATCCTTGAAAGCTAATAGAACTTAATATCCGCATTCAGTATGCGCACACTGCTTCCGTCTATAGAACTAAAAATGTATAATAAAATTACATAAAGAAAAATTAAAATTATGGCACCTAAGATTATAGTTTGAATAATTATTACCAACATTGTAGAAGAGAACTTTTTCGAACGGTATCGTCATAACTCAAAATGTCATTTAAAATTATCCTTTTTTTAAAAAATTCTGTCTATAACGAAGAAGTTACTTCATTTTTCCATAATATAAAAATATATTACTTTTACTATATTGTAACTTCTTTGTTCGAAAATATTCTGCAAAAATAATTTATATAATATGAAAAATGAAATTATCTCGAATCAAATATTCTTCTCTTCAATATAGAATAATATTTTTAAACTCCAATAAATAATAGGTAACAATTATCAGACGCCATGATCTTGATTTTTCGTGATGACATTTCATCACACAGTTCATGTGACAGATGCAGACAAGATTTACACTAATTGGCTGTAGCTGCCGAATACTCCAGAATTAATATGAACAACTTTTTTTATTTTCTAAGTCGAATTAAGCAAACAAACATTAATTTTAAATTTAAATAAACGCGAGAACAGAAATATTTTTTTAAAATATTATCATATTATAAGTATAGTATGACAATAATTTATACTACAGTATTATCAAATAAACAACATAGTATGGTTTAATTAAGAAATTGCTACCGTTATTGATAGATAGATTAGGTACTTGTCTATACACAGTGTGTTCCAACGGTTAGGTATAAATAGTATAATAATATAATATTTTACTGACGTGTGAATGTACGGCGTTGATCATTTGTTCGTTCCACGTTCTTAATTAATTAATAATAAAAATTAAAATGGGACTGTGAAATGTTCAAAAATTCATTCCATCGAGTGTGCTTTCGTATACGTACAATAATAGTAACGCATCAACAAATACACGAGCACAATTTTATCAGTTGTTACTTGTTTTTAAACCTCATTATACGGCTATGAGGAAAACGTGTACGAATAATATATAAAGCTTTATTTTTATTCTTATCATTACCTCTCATCATACGAATCGCCATTCGTATATTATGTACAAAATAATAACACGTGTTGAACTCTAAAACGCCTAAAAAAACATCTAAAACCATCATTAACAACGGCTTACGCAAAACTATAATAATAATACGCATTTACCTTTCTTTTAGTAAAACCGTACAAAATTAACGTTAGAATCTTGTAAATAATTAGCGATTTCTGTTATATGCGTATTTCATAAGAAATGACAACAGTTTATTCTATTCCACGTTTGGTCAGTTCACGATCAAAATTGTTAAATATACAAACAAAAAAAAAAAAAATAGTAACTTAAAAAATAAAAATAATAAATTATAATTTATTTTTTGAAAAAAAAATCTGTCTTTATTATGTATGCAACAGTTTTCGATTACATAAACACAAATGAATGCACCCCACGTCAGATTTTAATTCATCTTCCTTTTCTTCGCCTTCATTCCACTGTCGAACTCCGAAGTCGATATAACCTTATCCGATTTTCGTTTCTTAAACAGGGCTCCACTGTCGGTCTTGGGAATTTTTCTTTGATTTCTGCAAAACAAAATAGCGAACAGAAATATTAAATATTGTATCGATATTATATGTATTATAACACATAAAATTCTAAGTTCTTAAGAATAATAATTACCATAAAACAGTAAAACTACATCTATTACATCATTTTAAAAAATAAACAATAACGATGTTGTGCGGATATCATTGTTGATCAAATTAATCCTCCCTTTTACTATGTTTCGTCTTTTGTGCGAACTTTTAAAATATTATACCTATGTACCGTCAACACAAAATACAAACATGCACTGTGGTGCAGCAGTTAGTACAGAAGAAGGAAATTCATTTTAAAATCGCTTTTTAAAATTCTACTTGGACAAATGTCATAATAATACAATATGGTGTTGAATCGTGTAAAATTGTGATATTATTTAATACAAACAAAATTAAAATCCTTCAATCATGTGTCTATTGTGTACCTACAGCTTTTCGTATAATATGTTTCAAACAAAGATAACATACGATAACAAAGGCGAAATCGCGATTTAGAAATCGTCTCCAGAGCCATTCAAATCTTCAGATTACAGACTATCATATTATTAGTGTCTAATCAATCACCTTTCCAGCAATCCAACTCTCAGACTAAAAATAGGAAATGGGGCCTCTCAAAGAGTAAGAAAATTGAGCAAATAGACTTCCGGAATCCCGTCAACGGCGAGAATTTCTCCGCTCGTACATTCTGCATGTATGCTCAATTAATTAATTTCTTTTTTATACAATATGTATGAGATGTATATTTTTCCTGAATAAAAAATTCTTGTTTACGAATGCAGTGACCCGTGCCACCGATTTTCACGGAGACGAGGCACATCAGTGACAACGTCAACCAGCTACAACAGCATACGCTCAATGTGCATTATAATAATAATAAGTAATAACTTATTATATACCTACATATTGTTATACAGAATGATTCGTCCATCATTCTCACTCTCATTTCTTTAATAATGAATTTATTTAAATTCTGATTTTTTTTTTAATTATTAAGTATACTTAAGGACCATATTTTCAATTATTTAAATTACCTATATACTATTTAAGGATTGTCTTATGGGCTTTGACGATATAAACTTCCGTTTTTCTAATGAGAAACAACTTTTTTTTTTTTTTGAAAATATTGGAGTATCTGTATCAAAATGTTGGCTAGTAATTTCTAATTTATTGAAGAGTATATACCAAGGATAAAATACGAAATAGATATAATATTATTTGATCTAGTAAAAATATTTATTTTTACAAATCATAAAATGTAGATGGATTAATATTAATTACTTAAGTTTACAAATCATAACTATTTTTCAACCCCATTATTATAGACCTTGTAACTCAAAGTTAAATAACTCAATAATTACTATTTAAAATGTATCAACATTTACAAAAAAAAAATTATCTGATTAATAATTTACCGGAAAAAAATGATAGTTTTCATTCGAAAAATAATAACTTTGTATCACAACGGATAATATAACAAATCTAAATATTTGAAAATAAATAAATACATTTTTTATGTAAAGGCACTTAATAATTCCATTAATCAGGAATTAAATAAAAACATACATGATTAAAGGAAAAAATAATGGTGTGGATACTTGGTGAATCACTCTGCATGTTGTTATAACTTCGCAAAAACTGTTTGTGGTTTTTGTGGCCAAAGTAAACTAACTCTTGTCTTTACGACGATGACGTCGGCGTTCGCGTCTAGTGCGGCGCTCACGACAAACCGTAGAAAATTTAAATTGTCCGTGCAAAAGAGCTGATTAGTGGCGATTACTAAATATAAAATCGCCCCAGTGGTGGCGTGACCTAATTTATAATTTTCTACTATACACTCTTACAACGATCACGCTATACTTCAAATAATCGCCGAGCAGTTTGTCTTATATTATCTGATCGACCGCGGATAAGTTGGTGGTGGCAATGGGGACGGTCAAACGTGTAAAATCACAATTGCGTCACCTGCGCTGATAACGGTTGATTTCAGTTACACAACCGAGAACAGAGCATACTAGTTGGGTCCCAGATTCAAATTGTTTACCAATTAGGTCCTGTCTAAAAAAGCCTGCTGTACTAGTTGGTCCCGAGTTAAAAAGCCTACTGTTCTAAAGTACTAACATTTTCCTTCCCAATTCTACAGACTTAGGACTGTCTAATTAAATCTAGTTATTACAGATATGGTTAAAAATATTAATTTTTTTTGTTATTGTTTACTATTTTATTTTCATAGATTTTTTACTCCTAATATACGAGTATTTCAGATTTTCTGTAAAGTGAAGAATATTACATTGATATTATCATAGAAAAATGATGTGTTTAATTAATTTATTTTTGTATCAGAAGACAATTTTTCTAGTAAAAAAATATTCCAATTATAAACATTTAAAGAGATTTTTGATACCATATAAGATCTAATTGGTACTTTTAATAAATCAAAATGAAGAATTCTCAGAACTTTTTTAAATAATCGGGAATTACAAAAAAAAAATAAAATATTTGTTAACATGTTAATATTATTATTAAAATAATTGTTTAATAACCTTGTTTACCAAAAAATTAGTCTATCTTCATTCAGAATGTTTTATATAGTATACAATAATTTATCATTGAATTAAAGTTTAACAAATCCATTTCAATGACTAACTCATTGAAGTGGTAAATAAAACACCTGGACAGTAGAGCGGTTACCTACTGAACATTTTTTCCATATTTCCATTTAAAAATATATTATATTAAATAACAACAAAAATAAAAACAAATAAACGCCATCATGAATACCAATATACATTATTTAAAAATTATTTTCATTACTTTTGTATATTGTTCTTATTCTCCAGACTAACTAATTATTTTTAAGTTAATTGTAATATTTTATTCATAAATTAAGAAAAACGTTATCATAACACAACTAATTTGGTCATCATAACTAAATCAATTTTTGATATAGGTACCGCTAATATAGAAAAACTACACTTGTGTGTTATAAACTAACTGGAACTATGTCAGTAATTGTAAGTAACTTAAACGAGTTGAAAAAGCCTTACTTTGTATTGTAGTATTTCCCAAGCTTTATGTCAATACTGATAATATTTATTACTATAATGATTATTATGATTAATAAAAAACATATAAATATTAAATAAAATATTTCAACATATAAATTCTAAAATAATATAGAATTTAAATATAATAATTAATAACAATCAAAAAACAAAATATTAATGTTTAATAGGTATAAATAAATATAAAAATCTTGGCTTAGATTTCTACAGGGGTACTAATTTTGAGTTTGAGGGTGACAACGTAAACGTTTTCTTAATTATCCTCACCATCCCCCTATTTGCGCTTATGAGTAAATAACTCCCTACATATTTTAAATTATAATAAAATTGAAGCCGTCGAATTTTATGAGACTTTTACACCCTATGAAATGTACTCGTATTAATCTAATTATTAAATAATACAATTTTCGCGTATTTTTTAAATAAGTTTTAGTTTTTTAGTTAGGTTTGAAATATTATTTTGGTGTAATCGTAGAGGCACCTATATAAAACTAAACATAGAGTACTATCATTTTTGGAGTTTAATTAAGTTCTAAAGAGTTTCTTTTTAAATTCAAAACTTGATTAAATTTTCTTGTTTTTACACCTATTTAATAAAAAATGAAATGTTTATATTTTTTAGTGCTATACTGCTAAAAAAATTTTAGTGTCCATACATTCTCGATCGTCATCTACAGCAGAAATCCAGCTTATTCATACCTATACAAAGTTATCTACAGCTTTGGATAAAAAAAAATTGTTTTTTACAGTATTAAGAATATTGACAAATAATTTTGAGCCTTTCTCTGCAACATAATATATTATAACGGTAAAAGGAGCGTATCAGTCAAGAGTCGTGAGTTCTATGTATAAGTATCACATATAATATATATTATATATCAAGCATAAAAGTATGGGTTGTATTGTAATAAAGGAAAGAGGGTGGATGCGGCGCAAATCCTTTTGTTCTACATCCAATATCTAATATAAGACGTAAATTATTATATTATCATCATCATTATTATTATTGCTATGATTGTAATATGGTCGAGATCCAGTTGAGAAATTAATGGACGACGAGTATCTTGAACAATAAATAAATGAGTGTTTTGAAAGGCTCTTTTGTTATCGTCATGTGTGTTTGCGCGAGCCCGACGTTAACTATCATTATTAACAACCGCGGGATTAAGCGCAACACAACACCCTATTTTATATCACATACATGCGGCGCAGTGTATTACTAGTGATGTTTATTTTTCAAACGTTTCTCATAATTTTATCATGGGGGAGAGGGTTGTTCCAATTCTCTTCACACGCCACGTTTCGCAGAAATCCCTATTATACGGAAAACTCTCTTTGTGCGAAGATGATAATTTATTAATACGATTGGCGCATCTCACACATTTCTAAACTATAGGTACCTTCCATCTAATATGGGTTTATCTTTGTAAGCCACCAACAATAATATAATAATACTCATACGGAATGGAATCTCACCCGAGTATCCGATATATTGTGTCAAATACAATCTTTATTTTCTTCAGCACGTAATTCGATTTTCGCAAAGAAATTCCTTGCAAAGGAATAAGAAATTAAGAATTTTAAAGTTTCGATACGCTATCACTAAAATTAAGTAGATATTTTGTTTTAATTTAACATTTGATCGACTAACATTCAGTATAATATAATATTAGAATTATCTGTAAGTATTAACATTGTAATTAGCAATTACTAATAAAAAATAAATTAAAGTTAAATAAAAAATATTTTCATATTTTATATATTTATAAATATTATATTATTTACATTTAATAACTTACAGAAATACTTTAATACACAGACAATAAACGTGATGCGCACTAATTTTTAATGGCCTAGTATATAATAGAATTCGCATCATACTTTTCATATCATTGACCTCCCATGAAAAAATTAATAATAATA